GCTGAATGCATGTATTCCAAAGGCCACAGGACGACTAGGTCTGAGCATGGCCCGAAGGCCAGTCCGCGAGTACAAGGGCCAGACAAATCTTAAAGCCACCACCAAACGTCATGTGGTCACACAAACATAGCACTACAGCCTCTGATATTATAAATCGTCACCGCTTAAAGAGTAATTTCAAAGTACCATATTTAGGTTCCGAGACTTCTTTCCACATCAAAGAAGGCATAGCAATCGAGTAATTCATGTATTATAGCCTTCCAGGTCATTCCATCCAGCACAGAGTTTGGCTCAATGCATACATTCAGACAGAAATCGTCGAAGTAGGGCCCAAGTCTAACCCCCGTGGTGGTAACAGGATGCCCGTCAAAGTAACTGCCACTTATGCAGGAGGTCAAACAAACAAAGTATTTTAGTCCTATGTATCAAGTGAAATCTGATAAGCGACTTGGGCATGACCGTGACGATAACCCGCCTGGCAAAGGAAGTGCGACTCCTTACGTCACCGATTAAACGTGCTTTGTGGGTCAGAGGCAAGAGATCCTGAACTCTGCCCCTCACATTGCGACCATTATGACTAGTAAAGTACACAAAGAAGGGGACACCTCCGAAGAGCATGTCAAGCATTAATTCAGCAATAGTGCTGTTGATGTCACAGCATTCGTTCATTCAACTGAGTGAATAAGTGCCGTCACATTGCTGCTGCAGCATCTTCTAGCCATAGAACCATAGCAAAGCTCAACCTCCTCCCCCTTGCCTCTGAATGTGCATGGACTCAGCCAATTATCACTCCCTCTAATAGTCCCGAGAGGCTATGCCACTGTGCCCAGGGTTTTAGGGTTGTTTCTTTTGCACAAAATACTTGACAGTCTTTTGTTGTATGCAACTTATACACGGCGTTTCATTGATTTGTAATATTGATCCCATGACAAGTGAGTGATCAGACAGACGCGGTTTCTCAACAAAATGGGTGACTTGCGGTGCGTCTTCCTAGCCTTCTGTGATTTTTGCAACAAAGGTTCAACAACATGCACTGGCAAAACTTTGAGGAAGATTTGCACTGATTGTAATATATACACAGACAATTTGAATGAGAACAAAGTGGACGTCCGGTTCCGCCAACACACTGGCAATGTGAAAAGGGACGTCGACTATGATGGTTTTTTGGAGTTCATTGATGGTCCATTTTCTGATGCCTACGCCTGCGCCTATAAAGTCAGTAAAAGGGCGGCAATCGAAGCGTTAAAGTCCAAAATTGCAGCCGGATGGCCTCAGTTAAACAATACAACTGAAGTTGTTTGTGAGGAGGGTCTTGAACTACTCACAGATGTTAAACTCTTCACCGGTATTCACAGAGCGAGATTTGATCCAGAAACTGGAAAGGGACTAGGCAAAGATGAGAAGGAGTGTAATGCTAGCTGCAACGGATACGTCTACAGCGGCACAAACATGACCACTTACGACTTGTCCCATGCATACACATCACCGGCAAAAAAGGACTGCTAGTTGACCATGATTGTCACGGTTATCCAAGGCGATCAGGAGGTAACTTCGCGTCTGAAAAGACTGACACTCCGTGGGACAAATTTCTTTTCTTTTATCTGAATTTTTTGCATTGATTCCAATCACGTTAATTTTCCTTTTAAGTAAGATCAGTTAGAGGCCGTTTTTTACTTTTCACCAGCCAGACGCTGATAATAACTTTTGCATGTCTTTCTCTTACATACGCTAATAAAAATCTAATAATCAAACTTTGGCACCCAAGGGAAACACCAGATATTCATTTTTATCTTGACTACATGTGTTTGCGGATGTAACATTAATGGAGTACACCGCTGTAATCCGCAAACTTGGGAATGACTATGTAAAAGCCGAAACTTTGCAATCATTAGCACTGTTTCCTTTAACTTTAAACAAACCGACAACCGCTTTTAATGAGTCAATGAAAACAGAACCTAGTAATCTATTTAAGCTAAATAAAGGCATATTGGGAAGGGGGATTCGTAACTTCTGCATGGTTTAGGAAAATTAATACTTGGGAAGGTAAAATTATTAAAGTAAATTGTCGGCAGCTTTTCCCTGGGTAAAACTACAAAATAATTTCAATAAAATTATAGTTTATACAAAGTCATCCTAGATAAACGTAACTACGGCAATAATGATATCGTCGCAGCTCCATAGCCTTAGTTGCCATCGCGGTAACGTGTGAGATACCTCTCCGAGATAAATGGGTGATCTTAAATCTGCCTTTCAGGCCTTTTGCGATTTTACTAAGAAGGGCTCAACCACATGCAATGATAAAACACTTAAAAAAATCTGTACTGACTGCAAGTTGTACTCGAAAGAGATGGATGCGAACCGGGTAGACATCCAGTTTCGTAAACACATTGGAAACGCCAAAAAAGATGTTGACTATGAGGGCTTCGTCAGCTTCATAGAAGGTGCACTTTCCGAAGCCTACGCAAGTGCACACAAAATCAGCAAGGAGGAGGCTATCAAACAAATTAAGGAAAAAATCGCAAAAGGCAACCCGAATTTGAACAATGCTACCCAGGTGGCCAAAAATGAAGACGTAGACCGTCTCACCGATGTTGCACATTACACTGGTGCTCATAAAGAAAGGTTCGATGCAGAAACGGGAAAAGGCAAAGGCATTGCTGGCCGAGAGGAATTGGCTGAAAATACGGGATATGTGCAAGGGTATAAGAATAAGAACACCTATGATGACAAGCATAAGTAATCGCCTTCATCTGGCGATAATAGTTATCTCATTTCTAATGTGAATTTATTTCAACTTGTCTAATTTAAATACATACATATGATTCTGTTTTACGTGGCTTTTTCCTTCATTCATTTTGGTTTTCCAAAGCGCCCTGTTGTTTTCACCATTTCAAGTACTGCAGCATGAAGTTCGTTTAAGCTGCCCTTCCAGGATGTATGACAAGGTAGACCAGTTTTGCGATTTACCCAAATTGAATACTAAAACATGCATTATTTGATGTTCAATCAAAATACGCCTCATCGTATCCCCCTCCTCTCCCCAATGTGGTGTTGCCTAATTCGGTGATGACCCACCGCGACCCGACGACATTTATCTGATGACATTGGGGAGACAATGTAATCTGGTGAGTCATGCGTTTAATTTAGATAAATCGCGTGGAAGCGATAATTACTACCTGCAAAAAAGATCGAACTTTGACGCCTTAACAAAAATCGCATCCACTGCTTAGCTTGAAATCAATGTATGCTTAGATGCCGCAAAAGATGAAGTAGGTTTAATGCTACAAGTCGCTGTAGCGATAGCACACCTGAGAGTCGCCGCTATCATCTACATATCCCATTAACATCAATGACCGCAAGTTGACACCTCAAAAACATCCTTAAAAGAAAAACTTTTCAGTACAGTGTTCCAAGAGGATGCACTGACAATGGAAAACGATCAGAGGCTAGCGTGCCTCGCCACAAAACCGAGAACTCGGAAGCGCCACCAACAGTTTATAAGCTCAATGCGAACGGAGAACACCAAGCCTGAGACGCCCAGAACCGAAGTATCAGCAGCTGGGAGCCCTCATATCGTCACCACCTGAAGCGATGACTCATCCCACGGATTTAGGAGGCGACAAACTCACGAACACGCCAGGATAGATACATCAGGCAGATATCCTCAAACCTTGTTGTAGCCCTCATCACACCCTGCCCTCCCGATCGCCTCAACTTGGCCTCCGAAATGGTTAAACCAGACTAACCCATTTTCACCCCCTGTTACTAAATCCAGCTCTGGACAGTGGGACAGAGATGACCGTTCGACCCCCGGGGGCGTCAGAACAACAACACCAACAGCTGCGACGACCGCATGACCTCGCACTTTTAACACGAAACCACGACTGAAAACAAAAAATATATAAAGACAGAGGGTACACCAAAACACCTTTATTGAATATAAAAATCAAAGCGATTTGTTTAATATTCATTGAGCAATTTCGGTTAATTGATCAAAAGAATGATTAATGCAGAAAATGCAAAGACGTGGACGTTCATCAACCCAAAGGCGCTCTTGCCCGTCAAGGAGAAGGAAGGCGAGAGCAACGATACCACGCAGATAAATGAATAGTAAGATCAAATCGCTGTTTAGCAGTAGTAGCAGTAATAAAATGTTGATAAGATGCGTAGAAAAGTATCAAATTGGAGAAAACACGTTGAAAATTCAGGGGTACAGATAGAAGGAGAGTGCAAGAGGGTGACGAAGAGATGAGGAGAAGGCGATCGCCCTCTCCCCCTATGACACAAACAGCGACGTGGATACGTCATACGCACACACACACACAAGACGTTCCTTCTACTACCTCTTATTCTGCATCACTCATTCTCCTCTTCTCCATCTTCTTTTCTTTCTATCTTTCTCAATGTAGAAATTACGAAAACCAGAAATTAATAAATCACTGATGAGTGGACCGACAAGCAGGAAACCGCGGAAACAAACAATGCACCAGAGAATTCCGAGGGTGGCAAATGGACGTGTCAAAGTTACAAAATCAATTAAGACAACCGTAGAACAGAGAGGAGGGATAGTTGTTGGAAGAGGAAGGAAAAGAAAGGACATGAATTATCTAGAAGACATGAAGTTGTATGTGGATGTGTGTGTGTGTGTGTATACATGTGATTGTAGTTTTTATGTTGGATTTACGACAAAGACAGAAATGCCTACTGACACATAAATGCAAGCTAATAGCAGTGTAAAATAATACCAAGTATACCAGTAATGTAGAAAAATGGGAAACCACTCTCCGATTCACATTATTTCGATCACACTGCGATCGTCTGCACCTCACCGGTATTCCCCGACTTGCTGTTCTCCGAATTCGTATCAGCAGATGACGACGCAGTACGTGAGTCCATACCAGCGTCATCACCATCATTGTCCAACTCAGCTAACAACGACTCCGCCGCGAAGAATGGTTGATTTTGAGAAAAACCAAACAGCCTAGAGCCATTCACGACTTGATTTGCTTTGATTGTTTTCTCCATCTCGGCAAGGTGCTCAAGTGAAATATTTCTGCCCCCAGTAACGAGAATGCAAATTCTAGCTACGCGGGGAATCACACCGTCGGACTGCAATCTTGCCACAGAACCGCTGTAAACAGCTGCCAAAGCAACACCAGAAGCGGGATCAACAAGAAAACCATGTTCGTCAAGGAACCTCCTTACTGCACCAACGGCGTCAGCATCAGTGCAAGTCACGACTGTAATGGGATGACAATGACACATATTCACAGCTCGAAGAAGCGGAAGTGATACAGAGAGCGTCGAAACAATGGTAGATGTTGATCCGGGCATTGAAGGCAACGAGCGAAAGTTACCAACAGCACGACCGATGTAGTCGCAACCCTCGGATTCCACAGCGATAACATGAGTAGTCGACCAACCACGGGTCCAGAGGCCTTGAATCACACCACTAAGTAGAGCTCCACCACCGGTTGGAATAATAATGATGTCCGGTTGGACAGTCATTTCCTCAACAATGCTCTCATAACCACACCACAGATCTGGTGTCTCGTATGGATGGACCAATTTTACGGGAATCGGATCACCAACCGCACTGAAAGATTGATTCCCCTCGCTGACAATCTGCTCGGCTTTATGAACTGCGTCGGCAAACGAGTTGCCAGACTTAACCAACTTCGCTAATGGAGCCTCCACAGAGAGGCGCTTCTTCGTAAATACATCGGATTCTGGAACAACTACGGTGCACGCAATACTGTAGACCTGTGCTACTACGGCCGCAGCAACGCCGGCGTTACCAGTGGTAGGGCAGACAATCTGTTGTGCACCTTGCGAAGCAAGCTAAAGGAAGAAGAAAATGGATCAAAAATGCATCCTCGCCAATTTAATATACCAAAATAAGTAGGTTTACCTTTTTAATGACAAAATCCATAGCTCGAAGAGTAACAGAACCGGTGGGTTGAAGGAACTCTAGCTTTAGGTCGACAGATCCACGCCCCCCGCTTTGCACCAAGGCATGTGAGAGGTAGGAACTGCTGATTATCGGTGTAACTATTGATAACCTGCGAGACAATGAGACATCCAACGAACGTGAGGGTCTGTATAGATCCATGGTCGACGGAGCACCTAAGTTCGACCAAATGCTCGAGTCGCCCTTATTCATTGCGAGACTCGGACGTTCAATTATGCTGTTATCCACTTTCGTGGACAGATTATCAACAAAATTACGACTTTGGCCACTCGACATGGGTCCATCAAAAATTTCCGAGAAGTCCGAATTTTCAGTAATGTTGAGTATACCACCAGCTAGAAAAGACAATCGGAATTATCGTCGGTCAATGAGGTAAACCAATGATTTACCTCTGCTCCTAACAAGAGATCGATTATGCGAGGATAAAGGAACCGAATTCTCATTAGATTCGTTAGTATTAAAAATACGAAGCGGGTGAATGCGATGTGAATTCGACGAGATTCCGAGAGAAGATATCCTTTCTGATAATACACTGGGTATAAATGGAGTCGAACGCGACGTACCACCAACGGGACACAAATCTGCAAAAATTCCCGTAAGACTAAAAACGACTTACTTTGACGAGAGTTTAAAAGCATCATTGTACAGGTTTCTCTAGTGACTGGTCCAGCAATATGTGCACGAAGAGCCACTGAACCGTCCCCGATGACACACCCGTGAAGACGGTTTATGGCGGCATCACAACTATTGCAAACGAGGTAATAGCAAAAACCTTTGTATACCTTTGTTTTTCTTCAAAAATGACCGAAACAGTCTTGTACCTGGCCGGAGGACCATTACCAAATACGCCGTCCGTCACACTTGCGATAATGTCTGCAGCGACAGAGCTGACACTGGGCGGCAGCCTTTGCAAATCAGTTACTGTTAGGACTCGCATGTTGAGCACACTTCCGAAGAACGAAAACAGATTCTGAAGCAATATTTCCAGCATCCCAAAAGACATACCACTAAATCCGCTTCGCCTATATCCATCGGAAGCCCGAAAACGTACAACTCCCAGCCAATAATGTTTTCATTGTTGCTATCTGGAGAGACATCATTACTACGTGCAGACCCGTATTTACGACCACCAGAGCATGCAAAAGCGACACGAAGACGCTTTCCTTCTGTCTCAAAACCATGATAGGTAGAAATAGCCAATTGGGCATGGTGAGGATTGATGTAATCGACAAAACCATAACAAAGACTTGCACCCGTATTCTACGCACCATAAATTTAGAAAGAGTGAACTTACTTTATCCCTGATCAGTTTGCACTGACGAATAGGTCCGAGACGCTCAAAAAGACGCTGTAGATCAACTTGATCAAAACTCTGCGGCAGGTAATTTATTATAAGATTTGTTCTAGACCTGTCCTCCGCACCCAAGTTAAGACTGGAAGAAGCAGTGACGACATTCTGCTGTAGACACAGGGGCCTCAATGGCTGACTGACGTCCTGACCAGTGTTAAATGCTGCATCCGCCGAGCCAAAAATCGACGAGCTTTCGTTCTGTGCGGAGAACAATCCATTAAGCGGATTAGAGGAAAACCCGTTTGGAAGCATAACACAAAGAAAATCACGCTAAGTTGAGCATTCAAAAACTTATATCTTGCAAACTGCAGGTTCTGCACATTTAAACACACTCAAAGCAAAAAAACAACACAAATTAAAGGTATTAAATTTTAAAATTTATTGAAATTTTTTTCTTTTTAATATTATTAATTATTTAAGTTGTTATTAATATTATTATAGTTTTTACAGTTGGGCTAACGGGTAGTGTTTTGAATCCTTTATGTTGTGTTACGTGTTCGATCACGTTGGACCTTTAGTACGTGGATTGATTTGTGCCTTCTTTTTCATCTTATCTTCATTTGAACACTACCCTATCAACAGCGCTTATTCTATAGTTTTTTTTTTGCAGTCCCGTATACAACTACCCAACAGGCTCGTTGGTCCCGTAAAAGCATCCTTTACTTTCGTGAAGGAAAAAGATTACATCCAAGGGCACACATTATAATAATCGCCATTTTAGTAGTAATGCATAATGTCATGTTCAAGAAAGAAAAGAAGTAAAGAGGAGAGAAATGTTCCAATGAAAGAACTGTGTGTTGCGAATAGCGTCTGAGAACTAGACTTATTAGATGGGGATGGTACTGCTGGTAGACCCTAAAGGGGACTTAGATACAAAGTCCTTCTTTTCGTTCTCAAGATTCCCCGTAGGCCTTCTGGATCGTCTGCTCCGTAGCCTTCAGGTAGGGTGACCTCTCATCTACGGACCGCTCAAATACCGACCCTGGTCCGGTCCCTAAATTTCAACGCAATAAAAAATTGTTTTTAATGGATGTTTGAACTCTTCCCACGTTGCATGCGGAATGCGCACAGTGACAAACAAGAGCAAGGTGAAGGCAGGCAGTAAGGCAGACCAGGAGGAAGAAACTCAGAGTAATAAGACGGAAATGCCAGATTACCTCCAGTCTGATTTCCGTATTCCGGTACTGAAAACAGAGGCGGGCCATACATAAAACCCGTTAAATAGATGAGCAAGTAAATTGATTGATTTGTAGATGAATGATACGTTGGATGGTCGGTTTCAGGTAGGGCGATTTTAGTGGATAGAGGCCTTTATTGGTGCGATCTTATGTTTATATGGATGTTTCAATAAGTGAACGAAAAAATGGATATGTGCAAGCTGTATCACTGGACAGATGTGTAGGTGAATAAGTGAAATCAAAATGCAAATGTATGCCGTAAATGCATAAAAGTGCAATCTCTTCGATGATTACACAGAAGAAAGTCGTTAGGTTAATAAATGGTTCCGCCGAAACAAATTGGCATGCACCCAAAATAATGATGTTGTGTAAGCTCACCTCCCATTTCCGACTGTGGAAGTTGTTGTTCGAGAATCTTGTAGGACTTTGGTTGGACATTCTTAAAAGTGGGCCCTCCATGGCGCCAGAGATGCTCCTCGACAATTTCGGATCGCTCCTCGGGGGCGCCTGGAGACAGAGTTGGGGAAGCCTGTTCCGCTGCCATCATTTTCATGCTCATATTGTAATTCGTCACGTTAAAAGCCCGTCTGTGGAAGAAAGTGAGAGAAGGGAGGCGAATTAAAAGACACTCAAGCAAACCTAGACTGCTAGGCGTTAGTAAAGTGACAAACAGAGGGGCAGACATCCACACTAGATGCTGAGTACTCTACTGACTGTAAACGAAGTTACGGAACGGGTGATGGATTGATCACTCAAGGCAAAAGTAAAAAACTGCTAAGATGATGATAGCACAGACAAACTGATGAGTGTAGTAAGGGTGGAGGGATGGAAGATTGAATGAATGGATGCCGATTGCATCTAGGAGTCAAATCAGTAGAGATTAAGCCAACAATTATGGAGAGGATGAACAGAACGGTAGGTAGATAAACAGCGAAGACAATTGATAAGTAGGTGTTACAACGCAGTATAGGAAAAGGGAAAAGGTATGTGAATAATTTTGCTGATTATATTATGGTTTTATCAAAAATGCAATAACAATGCAGCCACACAAAGTAGACGTGTAAACAGATACGGGTGGAGGGATGAATAGAAAGACGAGAGGACGTGTTAATAGATGAATGGTGGATGGAAATAAGAAGGCATGGATAGAATTAATGAATGGATGATTGGGTATCTTAATGAATGCTTGAATAGATGAACTGCCAAGTTGTGTCTGGACCAGTGGAATCGTGTTGAGAGAAATCACGCAACCCACAGACAATCAGTCACCTGAATACATCAATTAAGCAAGAAAAAAAGTTGTCTATAACGGTAGAATGACGTACTTGAGAACGGTAAAATCAAGATCACTTCCAGCGCGAAGAAGTTCAGCCTTCACTTGGCTATGCGACATGCCTGAAAGTGGGGTTTTGCAAATCTTCACAATCACGTCCCCAGGCTCGAGTCCAGCTCGGTGAGCAATGCCATTGCGCGTTATCTATCATACAAAAACACAGCCTTTTGATTAACCTCTCGCCGTGTTTGAGATGTCCCTCAACTCGAAGGTAAAGTGCACGAGCTCAACATCAAGAAATCGTTTTGAGTTCATATATCCTACAGACAATCATAGATATTTTCCAATTGACGTTTCTAACATGAGTTAAACAGCGCAACCAGTAAATTTCTCTTCGCAGGTGGATTTTTTGTAACCACTTCAATGCTGTGCTGCTAAATTTACTCCATTCAGCCATAACTTTACCATCGTCGTATTAATCCTAACAACATTTACATCACTTTGTCGATCATAATTAATGCCCTAAAATTAAAAGTAAGAGCTTGACTTCTTCCTCTTTCTCCTCCTCCTTCTCCTCCACCTCCACCTCCCCGCCCGCCTTGTGATAATTGAGTGAACAAATACTTCTGTTATAGTATGGAACAATAAGTGAAAGCTAGTACTGGTTACTAAGGCACTGTGGTAGAAGTGAAGACAATAATGGAAGTTTTTGAGGCGTTGTCCAAAGTCACGTGTTTTAAAACTAGGGCGGGAAGGCTTCCAATGCTCAAAGTTAAAGAAAGGCATTTGCCTATCGACATGGCCACACAGTTTGGGATACGAGTCACAAGACGCTTGAAAAGGAGGAGCACGGCCACCCTTGAGGAGAGTGATACTCAGACAACTTAATCGATTACATGCCTCATATAAATGAAAATCGATAGCCTTGCTTTACCACCAAACGTGACTGACACGTTACTTTCAATAGTGTTTGCCTCTGCAATTTTAGTACGAGCAAATGTAAAGGTTATTGGCAGATTCTTCTAATATAAAATGACATGTCTTATCAGCTAAAATCCCATCCAACCTTGTGCACAAAAACAGGGAGTCCCTGATCAGCGCCGCCCTGGAGCACAAACCCCCATGACTTATCCGATGAGGGTCGTCGAAGTTGGTAGACCACAGGCTCAGTTGACATAATCCTTCCCGGTGAACCCGAGTACTAGAAATTTTTCGTGTCCACGCAAAAGCCAAGGCGAATGCAAGTCAAGGCGAACCGAACCGCGGTAAGGTCAATGCCTACAGTGAAACAACCACCTCTGCAATTGCGTGACCAATGAGAGGAGGATTGCCCTTACACGCAGCACTTGATTGGTTGAAGCATTTGGTAGGTGTAAGAATATTGGTGCGGATGGCGCGTACGTGCAACACGATACGAAACAATCGATTTTTTTCCCGAATGTGGGTGTCGGCGTGGGCGCAGGGAGCTTGGAGAGCGCACAAGAGGCAAAGGCTTCACCCAAATGAAGTTGTGAAACATTAATTACAAAAATGTGCACATTGAAGAAGATATGACTAGTTTCATTCACAGCTTTAAATGTAGGAATAAATTTGAGTATTTTTCCCAATTTTTTTTACAGATTAAAAGAGAAGGGGTACGAGGAAGAATTTACTAAGTGGAGGTAGAAATTTAATCTAGCCACATTACATACAATGCTACTTCCTGATTGGTTCGTTGTTAAAGTTGGCTAGATGATGATTGAAAGGGAGCACCAAGTCGTAAATTTATTCATTCAATAAGCTTGGTAAAGCCTTTATCAAAGACGGCGAATTGCTTTTTTAAGCTTGAGAGGATATTCAATGATAAATAGTTGTGATCACCAGCCTGCCGGACGTACATAACCGTGCCGGGCCAGTGGGATTTGCCCAGGAATAAAATAGGCTTGAGCATGTAGGTATGAACATTTATGGCAAATGGATGGAAGTACACAGAAGGGGAAATGGAGCATTAATTCAAAGGTCAAAGATCTACTGATAACTAAAAGGACCTTTGGTTCATCTACTTTATCCTAATGGGCAAATAGCCAATCCGATGGTCGTCCATCGATTTACGAGGTAAGATTAGATTGATGTAGGCCTTTTCGAAAGTCGCATTGCTTCCCACCGTATAATGTCACGTAAGCAACATTTCGGTTATAGGAAGAGATGACGGTTATCCAAAAACCCAAAAAGTCAGTGCACCCATGACTATTAACTCCTTGCAGAGATTTGTAGCAGAGCTTGCAAAACTAGACCATTAGGACAAAAATGCAGGCTTATAAGTGAGAGCTTGTCTCGACCGTTTCAATCATTCACAGTGCATACTTTTCTTGTCATCGTGGAAGGGCGTTCGCACACACTTTCGCGTACAGTTCACACATTGTGGAACGGTCCATTTATTGTGTACAAAAAAAAAAAATCCAGTCTGGTCTGCAAGGGGAGCTAAGAGTTTGGCAGTTGAAGCTGCTTGAAGGAGACTGACTTCAGCAGAAGGAAAGTGGATCACAGAAAATTGGCGCCTATATTATAATTAAAAAGTGAATGAAATCTGGTCTTCAATGGTTCGTACATAGTCGAAAAAATCCTACCTGACTGATTATTCGCCGGTGAACTTAGTAATGATGAATACATGATGCATTTGAGTGACTTACTAGGACATTAGTCTCAGTTTTACCCAATTGCCGATTTAAAAATAAACTTTCACGGACGCTCACATCTAACCGTCTATCCTCCACTCATCCATCTGTGCTACCTTCGTTGGTACTACCATCAGACTGTCAATGCCTCTTTCAAACCAACCATCCTATGCATTCAATCTTTTCTTCGTTCATTCCCCCATCTTGTATCTGAACCAACCCCATCGAATCGCGGTTAGCTTCTTAGTACTCCTTTTGTTAACAAAATAACCACCACAGGGTGACTACCTTAGGTGTAAAACTCTGGGGTTCGGATGGAATTAGCGCTCCTCCTCTATGCATTGCTGATTCACTTCCACAGGATGCTTGATGGCGTCAAGACACCAAATCGGCATTAGCTTTTCGACAAACCTGTTTCAGGTTTGACTCACCATAGCTTTATAGCACGTCAGTTTTTCTGTGCCCACATGAGGGCCGCAAGAAGGAAATGTCACGAAATTTATTTGTACATTATTGCATAGTGAACCCCTGTTTTTAACATTAACAAACCTCCGCTACCTTTCACACCAAAAAATGAAGCAATGTTTGGTTACTGCGACTGTCTTGAAGGATGGTAATTTAGCAAATTAACGGGTGATAAGTCAGTTTGCCTAGGGGATGGCAAAATACTCTAAAGTGAGACAAAAAAAGTTTCTGCGCTGTACGACATTTCACTCCATTTGCTTTCACAATCATCGATGCGCGATAAAGACATACGATTGGCCAATGCATTAACGCACTCCCGAGTCATCAAAAATCGATGTTGAATATCGATTTCATACGAAGAATGACTCATTCACCTAAGCTGTGTGGTATTGGAGGCCAACGTGGATGGCCCTATTGCAACAATCCACTTTATAAAAGTATACTTGTAATTTCCCTTAAAAAACGATGCAATTAGATAAAAATTAGATTAGATTAGATTTGATTAGATTGAAATGCATTTGCCTGCGATAAATGTGCAT